TGACATATTATTTATAATAAACAACAATTATATGATAGACAAAACATAATTTTATTTTTTAAATATGATAACAATAAATGTCTAGGTATTTTCTAAGTAGGTAAAAAATTCTTTACTTGTAACTACGTAAATTGTAATCATGAATCTATATCTTTACACCTATATGTAGTCTGTTGAATATTAATATATCATCTTCAGCCATGTTTTGTCAATAGAAATGATATATAGCCGATCGATGATTTTAATATCTAAAATTAATTATTATTGTTATTTCCTGACATTTAAATATTCGCCAATATCGATTTTGTGTACGTGTGTATATATATATATATATATATATATATATATATAAGTCAAGATACTGATTAACTGTGATAATTTTAATTTGTATTATCATAAATTCGTATTGTTACGGTTCTTTAATTTAATCTTATAAATGTGTGATAATCATTACATGAATTGTTATTTAATTTATGTTATAATAACATTTGCAGCTATAATCTGTAATCCGATTTATACGATTTAGTAATTTTCGCAAATTTTAGTTAACGGAAAATTGATCACTAGTAATCGCCAAATGAAAGCGTATTCGCCCGACCTATCGCCGAATGCAATCATTTTCGTAAGACCTATCGCCGAATGTGGCGAGATACGGCAGCTCAGCACGAAAATGTAAGGTCTATTCGCGTCGTACACTCCAACATGCTTCATGTTTCTATCATAGCTTCTATTCACTCTAACGAACACGTTTGAGTGAGTAGAAGCTATGATTGGAGGAAGTAAGAGCATATTGGAGCATGCGTGAACAAACCTTATTTTCTTTCATCGCTTGTGCGTTGCCATTGCCACTTGTAGTTAATAACTACTCGCGTGCTTAGCAACTTACAATGTTGGGCGATTGTACATCGCGGTCGCCACGCGCTTACATTTGACGGTAGACAGAACGGATTATTCGGCGATTAAGTAATGAATTTTTTGTCAACTATTGCAAAAATTGCAAAATGATACAGGACTTTTTGTCTTAGTTTAGTCGACACTACTTGCTTACTAACAGGCTACATTTAATATTAACCATCCAGCAGCATAAATAAGTATATAGTATAAATATATGTATATACATATATTGTAGATATACAAACACATACACACATATATATATACATATTATATATACACACGCATGACGAGAATGAGAGAGCGAGGGGGTGGTAAGAGTGGGAGAGGGAGTGGGAGCGTGAGAGGGAGAGGACGAGAATGAGGGACAAAGAAGGAGAGGGAGATCGTGAGGGAATGCGAGAGAGAGGGGGAGGGAGGGGGGGAGAGAGAGGGTGAGCGTGTGGGGGGAGTAAGTGAGGGTGAGAGGGGGGTGAGGGGAGTTATTTAGAAAGTAAAATACATTTCATTAATCAGGAAAAGGATAAAATTAAAACGGCAAAATTATAAGTAATCTTACATTGCAAAAATTAGCCAGTGTGAGTGGAAAAATCGTTCCTGCAGTGATATAAAAAGGATATTTAGCTCGTATCATTAACAAAATAAGATTTCTTGCCTTACTTGGTTTCAACTTGTACCATTCAATATCGCACATTGCACGATATACAGCATTGCTCTTAATAAATGTGTATGAAATAATATATTAATATTTATGCCATATCAATGAGGATTATTTACAAAATTATTAGTAATAATTTATCGAAATTTAATTAAACTCTTATTTCTTGAAAAAGTAAAAGAATTAGAAACAGAAATATATTTTACAGCTTGAATGAATTTGCATTCTTTTTAACTTTTATTCAGAACTGGACATTTAACATGTATATAAATATATAACAAAATAAATTATTAATAGATTCTCCTACTAATGTGATAGCAAAGGGCATTGCGGAATAAGCATGTAGAATCTGCCCCCGCACCAATCGAGCTCAAATTATTGGTGTCATTAGTTGACACTCCTCTGAGATGTAAAACTTCCCCAAATATCAGCCTCGAAATTGCATTTTTTGGGGAGCTATGGAGGGGGAAAGCAAAATAAAAAAAGTGATTTTCTTCGGAAACGACTGTATCGATTTTAATGAAAAAAATATATGTTGTAAACATCGCTTAGATAAGTTGAAAAAAATTTTTTTGAAATTTTTACGATGAAAACAAAATCTTTAAAAAAATTTTTGAACTTTTGTAAATTTTTTTTTGGTGCTATTTTTGAGTGACCACTTTTGTACTTCAGAAAAATAATCTGTAGACTCTCTATTTTAACATATATTTTTTTTTAATTAATCAGAGTGATGGAACATGGTTAAAAAAAACAATCGTTCGCGCAACGCCGTGCCGACTGAGCGACGCGGCCCCGGCGCGCTGCGGCGCATGGCGGCTGTTGCCATGGCACTATATACTAACTTTGTTGCAGTGTTGCAATGTTCAATTACCAAGTAAATTAACAGAAACAAAGATTTTATTATTGCCTACACATTTATTCAGTGAACATTATAATATAATAATATATAATATTACATATTTCCATTAAGTACATCTGCAGTTAACCTATAAAACTTATAATTCCCGGAGTTTACCACGAGGAAGTTTCAGTACGTTTTTAAACTTCATATTTTCGGGGTGCTTTTTTGACGTGAGTCCCCTCGCCTCTCACGTTATGTATTTAATATCGGGGTGCTTTTTTATCGTGAGTCCCCTCGCCTCTCACGTTAACAAACCTCTCATATTAACAGAAGAGGATTAATTAATTCTTAATCATCGTTATTATCACTTTCAATGACTGGAATGGAATTATCTTTCTTAAATATATCGCTGAGTATTTCTACCGGTTAAAAAATTTTTAATAAATATTTTGCATAAGATAAATAATATATTATTGCGACAATATGGGAGCAACAACAAATTGTTCGTCTGCCATTAGCACACATGCATAATGAGTCACACCGGAAACAGCTATACTATTTGGTTTGTATCTCAGGAAACATCTATATCTTGCACGAGAAATATATCGGGACGCAACTTTTAGTTCAAGAATATTTTTCTAATCCTTGACATATTCTATAATTAATTTACCATTTTTATCTACCATCTCTACCAAATACGACACGGCTTGAGAGAATTGATACGACCCGGTAAAGAAAATCTTCATGTCTATTTCTGTCATTTTCGGAAAATCTAAAAGATCATTACATGTAATATTTTCGAAAAAAAGTTTTCGGCGAACCATCCTTTTTTTTCAGCCTTAATCGGGAATACTCACAATCAGTGATATATTTAAGAAAGATAATTCCATTCCAATCATTGAAAGTGATATAGTGACGATGATTAAGAATTAATTAATTCTCTTCTGTTAATGAGAGATTTGTTAATGAAAAGTTTGTTAATATGAGAGGCGAGGGACTCACGTTAAAAAAGCACCCCAATAATAAATACATAGTGTGAGAGGCGAGGGGACTCACAATAAAAAAGTATCCCGAAAGTATGAAGTTTAAAAACGTACTGCAACCTCCTCGTGGTAAACTCCGGGAACTATAAATTTTATAGACTAACTGTAGACGTCCTTAATGGAAATATGTAATATTTAATTTTAATTTAATATATTTAATTTTAGTTTATTTTGCAAAGCTATGTGAAAAGACTACATATTAACAGAATAATAGACGTGACATGTGATACAATAGAATATAGTTAATAAAACATAAATACAATATACAGTAAGTAGCTTGCAAAATGGTTAGGCGTCAGCAGAATTGCTATTACAATGTCTACCAGTAACAAAACTATGATAAGAAGAAGACAACAATGCAATAAGAGTTAAATCATACACATACTTTTAAAGTGACGCAAGCTCATACATACGCTCACACACACGCTCATACACCCGCAAACATGCACGCTCATACATACGCTCACACACACGCTCATACACCCGCAAACACACAAATTACATCAGTCTCGTTTGAATACCGTGAGTGACGCGATGAAACGCGAGGCAGCAGAACGAAAGAGTAAAGAGGAAAGAGAGGTAGAGGTTTTTATTATAATAATATTATATATTATTATATTGTAATGTTCACTGAATAAATGTGTAGGCAATAATAAAATCTTTGTCTCTATCAATTTACTTGGCAAATGAACATTGCAACGCTGCAACAAGATTAGTATACATCAATTTACTTGGCAAATGAATATTGCAACGCTGCAACAAGATTAGTATACAGTACTGTGGCAATAGCCGCCATGTGCCACTGCGCGTTGGGACTGCGGTCGCTCAGTCAACACGGCGTTGCACGAAAGATTGTTTTTTTTAACCATGTTCCACCACTCCGATCAATTTAAAAAAAATATGTGTTAAAATAGAGAGTCTAGAGTTTATTTTTATAAAGTATAAAAGCGGTCACTCAAAAATATCACCAAAAAAAAATTCATAAAAATTCAAAAATTTTTTTAATGATTTTGTTTTCATCGTAAAAATTTAAAAAAATATTTTTTAAATTATCTAAACGATGATTACAACATATATTTTTTTCATTAAAATCGGTACAGTCGTTTCCGAAGAAAACCACTTTTTTTATTTCATTTTCTCTCTCCATAGCTCCCCAAAAAATGCAATTTCGAGACTAATATTTGGGAAAGTTTTACATCTTAGGAGTGCCAACTAATGACACCAATTTGAACTCGATTGGTACGGGGACAGATTTTACATCCTTATTCCACTATGCTTTTTGATAACAAATAGCATTATAACAATACAAACAAAAAAATACTTGTTAAATATATAAATACATGAAAATTATTTGATCGAAGCAAAAAATATAATACATACATTTATATACAACACTATTTATGCATATTATATATATAACTTACTTGCTCTGTTAAAAGTTCTCCTGCTCCACAATAGAGAAACGTATTCATCAATAAGACAATAAGAATTATTAGTGTGAAATATCCTTGGGCGATATCAGCTTTATCTACATTTTGGTTTGTAAATGTCTGAAATATATAAATTATACGGTAGTACAAAGAGGCATACTACGCCTGTTATGAAATTTTCTCGAATTTATTTCACTGAATCTTACAATAGTAAACAAAAACCCACTTAGGCAAAATGAAATACCAAAATAAAATATCGATCCTAACATCATTACAGAGTATGTATTTTCGATGTTGTCGGCAAATCTATAAGAATAAGTAATTTTAAACGATTATAGCATTAAATTAATATAAAACACTATATATATATATTCAGAGATACATATTTCTAAATGTAAAGTAAACAGGTTATCATTTATTTAATATTATCTGATACATTCTAATTAAATATTTCTAATAAATAAAGTGCACAAAATTAATGTAATTTTTACATTATATATGTAATTGTTATATATGCTAATATATATATATAAGTACTTTGGACAAACAACTTTTATAACTATCAATTTGCTTGGGAGGAAAACGTAATAAAGTTTTCAATGGTTATGATCACGGAATTGAAAAATTAAGAGAAAATGTACATCTCATTCCCCACACATTAAATATTAATCCGTATTAATTGGCTGTAATAAAAATAAATGAAAATAAACAATTTTAACGGTCAAAGATTAAGACGGATTTGTAAAAAATATCTTCAATAATGTTTCTAAATTAATTACGTTATTCGTCCTATCAAAATAAAAGTTCATACCTTATAAGACGTAAATGGGTTTCTATGATGTTGTTCAAAACTTCATTAAAATTTTTGCATGAAATCAAATCAGTTAATCGACATCTAAAGTTTTCTAACTGGCCACAAACGTGAAGAATTATTAAAATTAGAAAACTATCTACACACGTGTAAATGGTACCTTCTAAGAAGGTCGTAAAGCTTTGAATGAAAAATATCAATTCAAATTGCGGACTCTTATCTGTATTGTAAAAATTATAAGACTTCAACGGTAACGGTTTGCTCACACCCGTCAAATTCGTTATTACGTATGCTACCGGAACGCCAAGACAAGTTGAAATGATCACTCCGAGAACCGCCGTTACAATGAAAACATATCCAATTATCGTAATTAATCGTGCTGTTTGTGCTCGTTTTATCATCACATTTCTTTCTCTATCTTGTTTGAATGCTATCCAATCTTCCGCCATCATGTTTACAATTGACAATACAACTTAAAAATATAAATAACTATAGATAAAATGCATAGCTACAGGTGTTAAACAGTAAATTATTCGAATATGTTGCTACTTGTAAACTATTATACATCAAAGAAAAGAATTGTACATATTTTATGATTTATACGTTGATATGTAAAAGTAAATCATACATAATTCCTGATTTCTTATTATAATCCACAATACATTTCTAATTATAATTATTTGTCATAAGACGATTTAACAACGTGACGGAATATAACACTAAATTTTTATTTTATATAATTCTGGACATACCCGTTTGTTTTCGTCGCATAATGACGTATTTTAATGATGCTATCAGTTGCGGTAACAGTGTATGTAAATTATCTATTACAAGTACCATATTACCCCATACTTCTATAACCGCATATATCATCGGAACATTAGCAATAAATATTATTAAAATATAAATGATGCCGACCCAAATATCGGGCGACAAACTTTTCTCAGTGCATTTGTTGGATTTAGGCCACAAGCCAACCATTTCGAATCCAACACGATGTAGATTAACAGCCCACAAAAAATCTAATAATTTTTATACGATATAAATTATTTAAATAAAATAATTACAATTTAACTTTTAAATTATTAAATGTTTATACGGAACAAAAGTTAACGATACTGAAATATTTTAAGAATATATTTACAATACAAAATTATAAAAATTTGTTTACTGCATACGTTAAATGCGACCAATAATGTAGCATGCAATTAGTACCTTTGTATCCTGGAGATTTTGTAATATCCATGTCGAAAACTAGAACATGAAGAAGGTTTTTCTTCCAAGGTCTCGTTCTTTCCAAGGTTTGATGCAGAATGATCATTACGCATGCTCTCCATACAAATGTAAAAACCCAACACCCTTGTTATATGCGGATTACACGGCATTAAATATTAAGAATACTATCTCTAACTATAGTTACTGATATTGTAAGAAAATTTTATGAACGTTCAATTTATAAGGGGCTTTTTTGCCTAGTCTAATAAAATGTGAGACAGAAAATATTGCGCCACATCGTAAGTTCACCGAATACACTTGAACAATTTTTTTTTATGTTGGATATTTTTCCATTATATATGCATCTACTGCATGTGAAACGAGAAACAACACCATTACATTTTTAATACGACATTCTATAGCCACAAGAATTGTATTAAAGGAAAGAGATAATATAAAATTGCATATTACGCATGTCTTCCAATATCTCTTTTAAAGACTTATCTATTGTTACAGCAAACGTGAGCGAATATAATATTATCTCTATACTATAAATATATTATTATTCATAATTCTCAATTCTATTTCGAATGATAAAATTTCGATGCCTTATAATTGCAATTTTTTTATAACGTATGTAGCTTTCTATGATGTGGCAACATCTTTGCTATGAAATACCCATTTTGATTTAACATTTTTCTGTCCATCGAAGATAAGATAGTTTTTCTTAAGATTGATGGAAGTGATAAAACTGACATAGATGCATCAACGTAGTTACATTCTTGTCACGTTTATTTAATAAAACACGTGTAAAAATTGATTAAATTATCATTACATATAATCTAGTTAAAACACAAACATTAAAGGGAAATTTTGTAGTATACTTTTCAGAATTATTCTTAAACATAATGCATAGACATAATCTCCATCGAATTATTCCTGTGCAATAAAAATATAAAATGCTTATTGGTATAATTTATAAGAAGCAACAATAAATAGATAACATTTATTTCTTCAATACTGTAACAATAAAAGGTATTTTATAGGTAGGAAAATTTTCATTTGTAGCTATGTATTGTAATCACGAACATATTTATTTGTATGCTTATTTAGTAGGTACATTGAATATTAATATATCATCTTCAGCCATGTTTAGTTAATAGAAATGATATATAGCCAATCGATGATTTTAACATCTAAAATTAATTATTATTATTATTTTCTGACATTTGAGATATACGTCATTAATATCGACTCTTGTTATATATACCTGTGTGTAAAAATCAAGGTACTGATTGACTCTGATATTAATGATTACTTTTATGACTACTCAATTTAAGCTATTACAAACGTTTTTTAATGTAATTTTGTAAATATATGATAATATTCTAAATGGGTGATAAGTTTGGTACGCGTCATTATTATGTTACAGTAATATCTGTGGCTATAATCCCTATTCTGATGTATACATAGGTATGTTATAGTTATTGTAATCAAAATGTAGTAAATATTTAACATTCTCCTCTCAGTTATATCTTAGTTTAACAAAAACCAACAGCAAGATAGTAAATATTGTAAATAATGAATTCTCATTTATAAAAAAAGATACAAAATACAATTATTTATGTTCCGAGAAAACTGCGGATTGGATACATAAATTTTAAAAACCATATTATTGGAAAAAAAAATAATTTATCGGATTAGATTATCATTTTTAAGTCCTTATTTTTTAGCTTTCTTAAAATACTCATTAAAAAAGTTATTTTACTTTATCAACATATATAGCAAAGAATATAATAGCAAAAAGATAATAGCAAAGAAATGAAATTAAAGCGAAAGAAGTTTAAGTAATCTTACACTGCAAAAAGTAGTCATTGTTAATGGAAAAATCTTTCCAGCAGTAATACAGAAAGGACGTTTGGCTTGCATCATTAACAAGATAAGATTTCTCGCTTTTCTTGATTCTAATTTGTACCATTCAAGATCGCACGTTGCACGATATACTGCATTGCACTTAATGAATACATTTAACAAAATATTAATATTCGTACTATTTCAATGAAAATTATTTTTAGAAGTACTAGTAATAGTTTATTCGGATTTCAAAATTTTTTTATAAATATATCTTACTTATGTATGTATTGTAAGTATAACTTACTTGAATCGTTATAAGCTCTCCCGCTCCACAGTATAGTAAAGAATTCATCGATAAGACAATAATAACTAAAATCGAAAAATATCCTTCTGCAATAACAGTTTTATCTATTTTTTTATCAGTAAATATCTAAAACATGATAAGAATATAAAGAAATGTATGACATTAAAATATTTCCTCGCATTTGTTTTACTGAATCTTACAATAGTAAATAAAAATCCACTTAGGCAAAGTTCAATACCGAAATGAAATATTAATATTAACATCATTAAAGAGTACATATTTTCGATATTGTCGGCAAATCTATAAGAATAGAAGTATTTAAAATTATGATTTTAAATCAATAAAATTATATACACATATATACACTGACAAAAATTTCTGAATGTAAGTAATTTGTTTCTTGAGTAGTTCTAAGTACACATTTCTTTACTGCAAGTAAATACTTTTAAAAGTAATATATGTTTACATTTAATAAATATTTACTTACAATAAAGAAATGTTTACTTGGAATATTCAAGAAATGAATTACTTAGATTTAGAAAACTTTTTTTTCAGTATATATATATATAGAGTGAGGAAAAATACCCAGATCCCGAAATATCTCGAAAGAAACATATAGTATAAGTTTCACGGAAAACCGAACTTACTTTAACACAGGGACCCGGATCGAAAAGTTTTTTCGATTCGGTTCCAGTTCCGGTTTAATAAAATATCAAATAAATTTTCATACCATAAAAATTACGGTTTTTCAACGGTTTTTTTCGGTTCTACTTACTTGCTTTATTTTATTTATTCTTTAAATTTGTTCTATTAAGAAGAAAGAGGGGGAAGAGGAGCAGGGGGGGGAGAGAGAGAGAGAGAGAGCGTGTTCACCCGTTCAATCTAGAGGCATCAATTGATCACGTGACTCTAAATAAAAATTACATAAACATTATTTTAGGCATATTTCTCTCAGTCCTTTCTTACAACTTATTTGATTCTTATATGGATAAATCTCACTTATTACATAAAGTCTACATATGTATTCTTGAATTTCATAACTTAAAATAAAGTCTTGTTGGTGAGGAAGATCTAAATAAAAGAAATGCTAGTATCTTAAAAAAAGTTTACATTAAATATATATCTCGCGATCTCTCGCTAAATTTTTTATATCATATAAGATATTAGAGGTATTTACATTTTGGTTAAGAGAGCTGGCGATGGTAATACTGGATTGAACATTGGTGATTTGAACGAAAGAACGGGCAGAACAAAGATTAAGGACAAAGATATCAAAAATTAAGAACTGAAAAATAAACCGAAAAAGAATCGAAAAAAAACCATAAAATTTTACCAATTCGGTTACGGTTTCGGTGTTATAAATTATATAAAATTTGGGTATGGTTTCGGTTTCGATTCACTAAAAAAAAAGGGTTCTGAAACGGTTTTCGGTTCCGATTTTGGTTCAAGTCCCTGCTTTAAACAACCTCAATAAAAATAAATATTTCATCATAAAAAAGACATAATTTAATATACTTTAACTTAATTTTTATAAATAAATTATTGAAAAGAATTATAAATCTCTCTATCTCTCCGTGATTTGTCACAGTAATAATTAGTCCATTAACATAATTAATTAAAAATTACTATAATAATAATAGTCATTGGTCTTTCACAAAACGTGATTGTACATTAATACTTTCCATTGTTAATATACAATTACGTTTTGTTATAAACAATCAAATAAATAAATGATGATTTTTAGATAACTTATTGAATTGAGAAATAAACAGAAAATACACATTGTATTTAATTCCATACGCATTAAAGATTACTATGTTTGTGTTACAATAAAATAACTGTAAATAAAAAATTTTAACATTTAAAGTTTAAAATATTTACGCAAAAATTTTTAATAATGTTTCTGAATTAATTTTGTTAAATGATGTATTGTTACAATAAAAATTTGTACCTGATAAGACGTATATGGGTCGTTACGATGTTGTTTAAAACTTCATTAAAATTTTTGTATGAAATTAAGTTAATTAATCGACATCTAAAATTTTCTAACTGACCACAAATATGAAGAATCATTAGTACTAGAAGAATATCTACGGACATGTAAATGGTACTTAATAACAAGGACGTTATGATATGAATGAAAAATGTCAACTCAAATTGTGGACTCTTATTTATGTCGTAGAAATGGTATATTGCCAACGGTAAAAATTTTTCTGGATCCGTGGAATTCGTTACGTGTATTACTTGAATGCCGAAACAAGGAAGAACGATGAATGTGACAGACTCTATTATTATGAAAATATATCCAATCATCATAATCAATCGCGCTGTTTGTGCTTGTTTTATCATCACATCTCTTTCTCTATCCAGCTTAAAAGCCATCCAATCTTCTGCCATCATATTTACGATTGACAAGAAATCTTGAAAATATAAATAACTATAGATTAAATACAAGCACTGTTAAAATATTGAATTATTTAAATATATATTATTATTTATAAACTATTGCACCAAAGAAAAAATCACGTACATTTTATAATTTATTTGCACGTTGTTATATAGGAGTAAATTATATATATAATTTCTTATATATATTATAATTTCTTACTATACTTCAGAATATATTTGTAATTATAATTATTCGTCATACTACTATTTAATAAGCAACAGAATATAATGATAAACAATAGGGATGCACCGATATCCGGAAAGAATCCGGTACCCGGTATTATCCGATACTTTTTTTAATACTATCCAACCGGATAGCCACGGACATCATTAGTATCCGGGAATATATCCGATTGAAATATAATATCATTGAATTGTTGATTTTTTCTTATATAAATGTTCTAACAATAAGTATGCATATATTTATGATACTATAATATCTTATACATTATTGCAAAATTACAATCTTTTTTCCTATAGGTTTTTTCTTTTTTTTTTCTTTTTTTTTCAGAAGATACTTTCTCGGAATCCGATCGAATATCCGGAAAATGTCAGATATCCGACTCGAAAAAAATTGTCTTCTCGGATATCCGATATTACATTCTGTCCGGATATCCGATATCCGGTATCCGGTAATTTTACATCCGGTGAATCCCTACTAAACATTTTATTTTATATAATTCTGGATATACTTGTTTGTTTCCGTCGTATGATAACGTATTTCACTGATATTATTAGCATGGCTAACGTTGTTCGTAAACTATTTATGACAGATTCCATATTGCCCCGAACTTGTACAACTGTACATATCATCGGAACATTAGAAACAAATATTAATAAAACAAAAATTATGTCGATCCAAATTTCTAACCACAAGTTCTTTTTATTATGTTTGTTGGGTTTAGGCCACAAGCCTACCATTTCTAAACTTATACGATGTAGCTTAACTGCCCACAAGAAATCTAATAAAATTTACAATATAAGCGATTTAAATAAAATAATAATAAATTAATTAATGTTTATATTATTAAATGATTATTCAGAAGTTAACGATAATGCAATACCTCAAGAATGCAAAATTATACAATTTATTTATTGTATATGTATATATATATATATATATATATGTATATTAAACACATAACAAGCAGGAATTATGTAACATTAAATTGATACCTTTGTATCCTGAAGATTTTGTAATATCCATGTTGAAAACTAAAAACGTGAAAAACGTATCGTTCTATCCACAGTATGAAGTAAAATGATCATCACGATGCTCTCCACACTAACGCAAGAACTCGACTGCCTTGTCAAACGCAACTGATATAGCATTAAATATTAAGAATGCTATCCTCAATTACAGATATTAATATCATAAGAAAAAATTTTATAAACGTTTAAGTTATAAAAATTGTTTATGTCTGGTGTAATAAAATAAGAGATAAAAATGCTGTATCTTGTCATAAGTTTGTCGAACTCGCTTAAAAAGTTCTTTCCATGTTTTATGTTGCTTTATTATACATATGCTTTTCTCATATTGCTTCATTATATTGCGAAACAAGAAGTAACACTATTGCATTTTTAATGCGACTTTCTTTACCAGCCACAAAAATAATATAAAGCAAAAAAAAATAATGGAAATACTTATCTTTTAAACGTCTTTTTAAAAAATATGTCAATTGTTACAGTACACGTAAGTGAGAATGTGAATAATCTCTAAACTATATAGGTATATCATAGTTCGTACTTTATTGTCTACGCATTTCTGGTGGTATAATAATATTTCGATATCTTAAAACTGCATTTTTATAACACATCGTAACTATCAAAGATCTGACAACATTCTTGTAAAAAGATAATCAATTTGTTTTAACATGTTTTTGTTCATCGAAAACAACCTACAAATGTTATTTAAAAACAAAAATTAAACTAATGCACAAAGTTCTAATCTCCATCAATCTGTTTTTGTTGCGGACAATGAAAACGTCATCATTTAGGAAATGGTTTAGATCATATCTTACAGTAAACAACAAACATTAATGGACAAAACAAAATTTTATTTTTACAATAACAATTATTTAATACAACAGTATTTACTCGTAATTATTTATTTGCAAATCCTTATTTTTCGTGAATATTACACATTTACACACACACACACACACACACACACACACACACACACACACACACACACACACACACACACACACACACACACACACACACACACACACTTATGTATATATTACATATACATACTATCGTGATCTTCAACCATGTTTTGTCACTAAAAATGATATATAACCAGACGATGTTTTTAATACCTGAAAATAATTATATTTTTATTTTAAATTTTGGAAACATTTCGGAGAAAATAAAATATATTTTAAAGTAATACAATGGGTTTACAATATCATAATCTATATAGAATTACTGCGAATATTAATTAGACCACACACTCTTTTCTTATTGAAATTTTAATTTAAGCAGGAAATATAAAAACGTAAATAGAAACTTTAAAAACTATATGTCCGATTTGAACCCCGAGTGAATAGGCTTGAGTCATATAAGATATTAATTGATAGGGGGCACTCACACAGTACAAAACAAAGAATCTTAATTATCAAATTAAGCTTCTGCGAACGTACGGACCTTCTCTTTTTTCAGTTTCTTTTTTCTTATCGAAACTCTCTAGAAAAACAATTATAATACGCTTACTGGTACTTTGATGTCTTCGTCAAAGTATTGGACGTATTTCAGATATGACTGTCATCACATGCGCACAACCATACGATATCCATTTTTTGCAAGAGCTACAGTAATAATCTGTAATGGCGCCCGGAAAAACATTTTTTATGCATGAATATGTAAAAATATGTATAAACATACATAAATACGCATAAATATACATATACATATATAATATTATATATGAAATATGTCCATACATGTTCATACATCCTTTTTCTTTTGTAAAATTACTTTTTAGTGTAATAAATATAATAATAGTAATGTGAAAACATAAAAAATAATTAAAGGGATAATTTTCGCATTGTTTGTTTTAAAAAAGAACAAATTTTGAAAAATGTAAAAAGAAATTGCTCATACATAATTATGCATAATTTTATATATAATCATACATAAGTAATTTTTTAATATTTCTTCGAACTTGATTTTTTCTAAAACAAATAGTGCGAAAATTACCTTTTTAATTATTTTTAATGTTTTCACATTACTATCATTATTTCTATTACACTAAAAAGTAATTTTACAAAAGAAAGAAGGATATATGAACATGTATGGACATATTTCATATATAATTATACATGTTTATAAATATTTATGCGTGTTTATGTATGTTTATACATATTTATACATATTCATGCATGAAAAATTTATTGCCGGGCTTGAGCTCATTCATGATCACGTATTGTCAAAATGCGACACGTACCAAGATACAGGGCCGGCACAAGGATAGGGCAAATGGGGCGGTTGTCCAGGGCGCTGTTTTTAGGGGAAGCCATAATGATAAACAAATCGAAACATATCGATATACCGTCCCAGGTAAGAGATTAAAAAGGCATCCATCCCAGACGCTCCCCTCTCCCGCCATTCTGGCTTCTTCGATCGTATTTATTCCGCATACATATATTGGACTTATTAACCATATCATATATCAATAAAACTAAGCGCTTATTGAACTACAGACAATTATCAAAATGGTAGTCAAAATAACCAATAGAAAAGTTGTCGGCATTTCGGTTCATATCAAAGAAATGCGTTACTTTCATTAATATAAAGCTTTAGATCCTATTTTTTTAAGTATTATATATATATATATATATATATATATATATATATAAGCGCGCGTCGTATCGGCGCACGCTGTTTAAGCGTTCACTATGTTTGTGCGTGATGTGTGACAGCAAAACCATTATCATACACAAAACAATTATTACGAGAAATATCAAATCAATATATTATTAAATGAGTTAAAAATCATATATCTTCTTTTTATAAAAATATGTAAACTTTCGTTAATACCATCATATATAATAAACTGCACGTCGAGACTTAGTTATGACAGCACCATGCAAACATCACCTGCAGCATAAAATAGCACAGTAATAGAATAGTGCTTGCATAGTGTGTTGAGCATAACATGTACAAACGTTTGGTTATCGGGGTATATTTGTCGCCTCAACACATCGCGTCCATCACGACACATTTGTATCAAATTTGGTGGGTACGCTTGGTAGAAACCTCTCCATAATGCTCTCCATAGTCTTAGTTTAATTTGATATGATCGCAAGCTAAATTTGTATAGGTCATCCTTTGTCAGTCACTAAATACCCTTTTAATTCATGTGCATTCGACAAGATAAATATAGTTTTGCGGTTCAGGTTTTATTCTTGAACTAACCAAAATAACACGTTTAATTTATGCAATCGATTTAACATAAATTGTGCAATTTCCTCTGAATGCTCAGCGTTTTACATGATGGCAGAACATGTTGTGAAGCGGCATTTCGAAAATCAGTCAGGGAATTGATTAGATGCACCATATACGTTTAAATACTGAAACAAGTTTTAAGATGTCCATTGATAAATTTGACGACAGATCTGACCTTAATAGACTTCTACCATGATTGCGCCATCCTGAATACAGATAATACCATTGGTATATGGATACAATACATCATACTTATAATAGCAAACTTTAGATAGTTCTAGCACTCAAGGGAGACATTTTCTAATTCTAATCATGTCTCAATACTGTTCACCCGGGGCCCAATTTTAATTCATAAAAAACTGCAATGAGCATAATTTTTTATACAATCTGAAATTATAAAGTACAGTAACTTTTGGTCTGAGAGAAAATACTGATGGATATTGGATCCTAATGACTGTTGACTGCGATAAATGTACAAATTTCTAAATTACAAATCTTATTTCACATGAAAAGAAAGTACATTGATATTATATTTCGGATATGAAATGTGGGATAGTAAATAGTAATCCATATTGTATTTTCCGCTTCAAATTAATTTCTATGAAGATAAGATGAAATAGAATTGGTTTAGGTTCAATCGAATTGATTTAGGTGAAAAAGATTTATTTTTCGGTTTATGTGAAAAGAATTTTGTATACCAATGAATAATATAATTTACCTCATTTTTATAAAATTATACTTAAAATTACATCTTATCGTAATTTAAAGCAAGAACAACATCAGTCCTAACTGTACAACATATACATGTACAATATGTATATATCAATGATAATGTATTCTAAGCACTTTCCATTTATATTGGTGGTCCAATTAATGAATACACTTTCTTTAAAAAAATATACTTACACAAAAACAGTAACTCATATAAAAATATAATAAATTCAACATTATTTGTAAAGAAATTAAAACATAAAGATATTAAATAATCTTACGCTGCAAAAAGTAGCCATAGTTAATGGAATGATTTTTCCTGCAGTGATGCGAAACGGTTGATGAGCTCGTATCATTAATATAATAAGATTTCTCGCCTCTCTTGATTCCAATTTATACCATTCAAGATCGCATATAGCACGATGTACGGCATTACACTTAACACATAATATATGTACGGAGATATTAATCCCATCGTAATTCTAACGAAGTTTATGTATAATATAAAAATATTAGTAAAAATTAATTGGAATTTAATTAATTTGTATAGTTGATTAGAAAAAAAATCAGAAATATCAGATAGTTCATGTAACTTGATTAAATTTGCATTTTAATTAACGTTAACAAAAATTTTTTAATATAAATAATGTTTAATAGTATAATAGTATAATGCTAATTTATGAGAATTATACAATTACATGTAAGGGAGACGGGAGCCGATTGTTACTGTTAGGTATTAAAAAAATATTGCTCTTAAATACATAATCGTATAAATAAGTTATTTAATTATAAATAAAGCTGTGAAAAAATGTAACAATTAATCCCGTATTTAGAGTTTATTGTCACATATTCCAGTATATTTTTTATAGACAAATTATTAAAAAAATACAGTTTTTATTTTATGTTAGTTTTATATTTCAGCAAATAACAATAATTATAGTATTGATACGAGTAAAATAATTCATTAAAATATTTTAGTTTAATTTTTAGTTTTTTTTTTATATTTTCATTTAGATATTTAGTTAAAACAAAATTTTCAGAAAGGTGATCGATTAAACATGGGACAATCCTGTATACACTGTATAACTTACATGCTCTATTATAAGCTCTCCTGCACCACAATACAGAAAAGTATTCATCAATAAAGCAATAACAAGGACTGTTGAATAGTAAACTTTTGTGACAACAACATCATCCATTTTTTTATTAGTAAGAAACTAAAATATGTACCTCATAGAAAATAAAGAAACATATATACAACATACTATATACTAAAATATTTTTTTTATTTTTTAAAAACTTGGAACTTACGACAGTAAATATAAAACCGCTTAGGCAAAATACAATACCAAAATAAAGTACCATTATTAGCATCATTAAAGAATATATATTTTCAATTTTTTCGGCAAATCTATAAGAATAAAAATAAAGGACAGTCATATTAAAATCAAGAAAATTGTACAAATATCTAGAAATATGTACATAACACAGAAAAAAGATTGTATATTTGTAACAATAAAGTCAGAAAAAAGTTTCTATAAACATATGTTCAAAAAATATGTTAGGTATATGTAAATATATTTAAAACATTAATGTTTTTTTAAAATGTATGTACCAATAGATATTTCATAAATGAAACATTTTCGACACACATTTATAAGAATCTTTTTCTCATTTTGACGTCAGAAATAAATTTTCAAATTTCTTTTCCATATATATATTCTACGTATATTACGGTACATTCTTTATACATCTAGAGTTTAAATATAAAATGTCATTGACTCAATCATTTGCAATATTTTTAATTGCGCACTTAAAATAAAAATAAATCAAAATTTTTGACAAATTAATTAAGTATAAAAAAGTATAAATGTAATAATAATGTAATAAATTGTAAAATATATTCGTTCGTTGAATTCTTGCAAGGCAAACAATAAAAAATATGATATATTATTTAATTACACATAATCAAACATTAATATTTATGTTCTGTTATGTGAAAGAAATAACATAATATTTAAAGTTTAAAATCTTTTTTTATATGGAAAGATATTTTTTCTGTGGTATATTCCTAAACTTATTTTATTAAACTTTTTGTTGCAATCAAAATTCGTACCTGATAAGTCGTAGATGAGTCGCTATAACATTATTTAAAACTTTGTTGAAATTTTTATACGAAACCAAACTAAGTAATCGATATTTGAAGTTTTCTAACTGACCGCAAATGTGAAGAATTATTAGTATCAAAAGCATATCTATAGACATGTAAATAATAGCTGCTAATAAGGTTGTTATAATATGAATGAAAAATGTCAATTCATACTGCGGACTCTTATCTGTATCGTAGAAATGAAACGTCTCCAGCGGTAACAACTTGCTGCGATTCGAGAAATTTTTGGCGTACATTATTTGAATGCCGAAATAAGGAGGGACAATTACTGAGAGAAACCCTATTATCGCGAGAACATATCCAATTATCATAATAAAACGCGCTATTTGTGCTCGTTTTATCATCACATTTCTTTCTCCATCCAGTTTAAATGCCATCCAGTCTTCCGCTATCATATTCATAATTGACCAGAGAACTTGAAAATATAAATAAATATAAATGAAACATATATATTCTTAATAATATAAAATGTTAAACTGTTTATAGGTATATGTTATTCGACTAAAAGAAAAATTATACATTTTAAAATTTATTTTGACGTATATTATATTATAAATATAAATCACATATATATAATTTCTGGTTTTTGATATTATTTTTTTTTATCAACAGTACATATGTCATAAGAAAGCAACTCCCATACAGCACACACTTTCAAGGGACATCTTAAAGACGTTCTAAGGACATTCCCAAGATGTCCCTTTGATAAACTGTACTGTGTAGGCTGTATGTTTTAGTAATATAATACACTATTAAATATAATATTTTATTTTAAATAATTTTAGACATACCTGTTTGTTTCCATCGCAAGATAACATATTTCACAGATACTATCAGTATGGGTATTGTAATCTGTAAATTGTCTATTAGAAGTACCATATCGCCCCAAACACGCATAACTGCACATATCGTCGGAATAGAAATGAATATTAATAAAATTAAAATAACGCCGACTCGAATTTTTGGCCACAAACTTTTCTTAAATTTTTCGGTGTTAGACCACAATCCAATCATTTCCAAACCTAAGCGATGAAGTTCAATTGCCCACATGAAATCTAACAAATTTTTATATAAAATAAGGTATTCCTATACAAGATGTTATTAGAAAAACTTAACTAAAATAATTCATTCATTAAACATGTAAAACTTGCACAACGAACAGAAAATATATTATATGGAATTAATACCTTTGTAACCTGGTGATTCCGTAACGTCCATGTTCACAACTTGAAGAGTAATGTCCCGTTTTTTCCAGCATATAGTATAAAACAATTGTTGCGCATGCTCTCTGTATAAGTATGAAAACCCTGCAACTTCGTCCAACGTTACATTAAATATTAAGACACACTGTCTTCAATGTTGGTAAGGCAAAAAACTTTACAAGCATATATTGTATGTGACAATATCGTTTATTACTTATCTGATATCAGAAGAGATGGAAAATATTGCATCTCCGTACATTATAAGTTTGTCAAATGTTCATCTAAAAAGTTTTATTCATACTTTATATATTGCTTCGCAATATATGTTTTTTCTTCGAAATGTAGCTGTATATTTAATGGATTCTTTACACCAGTCACAAAAACTTAAAAATAGTGTAGACAAAAGAGAAGATAATAAAGCATTTTACTGTGTGTTTCGAATATATCTCTTTTATATATGTCGTTAAACACGGGTAAACCTCGTGCTGAGCCGTTCACTTGGCGCGAGACACTCGCCAATCTACCATGTCTCTTGACATTTATTACCTTTATAAAGCTGGCCATAACACACGTATTTTACGTAAAATTGTGGACTCTTATTTGTATCGTAGAAGTGATATGTCTCCAGCGGTAACAGCTTATTGTGATCCGTGTTTCGTGATCCGAAATTCATTATGTGTTTTACGTGTATCGAAATGTTATTATCTTGATAATACTTCTGGTGACCATGATTAATCGAGTAATTTGTGCTAGTCTCATTATCACGTTTCTCTCTGCACCCAGCTTGTCCAGCTTAAATGCTTAATCCCAATCTTTCGCTACCCAATCTTTCGCTACCGCATTTGAAATCGACAAGAGAACTTATAAATATAAATCAAGCCATATTATTAAGCCATATTGTTAAAATATTAAACTATTGAAAGGTATTGAGAGGTATCCATATAGCATTGCAGATGTCCAAGAGATGTTCTGAAGGATGTCCTGACAACATCCTGAGAACGTTCGCAGATCTCTGGGATAAAGTGTGCTGTATGAATACATATACACAAGGTGTCCTGAATTCAAATGTCAAAATTTCGAGTACGTATATGAAATCGATGAACTAAAGCAAAAAAATCCTTTAATGATATACTCGTTATTGCTTCCATGTGTGAGAATGTCCGTGTAATTGACTATAATGTACGTGAACAATTCTATTCCAGTTTTTAGAATTTAAGGTAGACTGTCATTATCGTGCATGCTTGTAACAAGACCTTAGCTACTTTGCGAGAGACACAGATACATTAAATATTAAAATTGTTCCCCCTAGTTTGATAGCAGTCCTTCGTTACGCAAAAAAATTTTCAAGTATAGCAGCAAGTAAAAAGTAGCAAACATGTTCGGCAATAAATAAGGACATGTGTTGTATCCCAGGATTACGAAACCTATTATTATCTTTTCCACTTTACAATGCTTCATTAAATGTACGTACACACACATACACACGTACACATACATATTTGAGTATCGAAGGATAATACATTTTTAATTAACCTGTGAGGTAAGACGAAAGAAACAAAAAGTTATATGAAGGGAAAACCCTATGCAATGGAAATATCATATGAACTAACAACGTACATATAAGCTTATGACATAATTTCGAGAAATTCTAAAAATATAAAAACGTTTTCATACTATATATATGTATATACATATATGTATACATATATATATATATACATGCATGTTATACATCATCGTATACTTATATTTGCCTATAAATATTATAATTTTTTTCTTTCATTGTATGAAAACAAATAAACTAAAATTGTTCTCTCTACAAATCCAGCGCATATAAAACACATTTAAAATAAAAATAAAATAAATAAAATGATAAATGGACACAATTAAGGTTTTTATTTTATTTCAAGTAAATAGTCTCTAATAAAAAAAATATAAAAATATAATGATTATATATAATTTATTGAACCAATATTGAAAAACAATACATTAAGTACAATTACGATGTAATTGTAAGTAGTCACATAATATTAGTGCTGAGCCAAACTCACCGGTTACAATGTAAATAGAAAAATATGAAATACATAAAACAATATATAACGTAAAATAAAATATAACATATTTTAGATGTAAGTAGATATTTTAAGTATTTTAAGTCCAGCCCAGCACTTGTGTCTAGATCAATAATTTATATTGTTCTTATTATTATGATTATTAATATAATTTAATGATACACATTAATCACGTCGTGCAAGTAAAACCGATATATAACCGCCTGATGTTTTTAATAGCTAAAATAAATAAGCTGTCTCTTAAAAATTGCATCATAGGATTTAACATTTTTACGAAAAAATATTATAAATATTAAATTACAGTTTTTAAAATAAAATAACTGATATTTTATTTTAAAAAATAGTGTATAATTAAACGTATGCTTACACTGCAGAAGGCATTCATTGTTAGAGGAAAAATTTTTCCAACTGTTACATAAAGTGACTTGTTTGCGCGAGTCATCAATAAAATTAGATTTCTGGCTTGCTTCGGTTCCAATTCATACCAACGATAATCACATGCAGCTTGATAGACACCTTCGCACTATATAATGCGATATAATCTTATTAAATATTGAAAATGTATTTCGTACAAATTTATAAACCTTAAAAAATTAATTATATAAACATAATTCAACGTTATCAAAGTTATTATTTTGTTTCATATTTCAATTCTGTAAATACAATAACTCAAACTCGATCATGAAAACAAGAATGTACACCTATTTTTACAATACTTCATTGATTAAATTAAAATATTTATCACATTTTTGGAGCCAGAAAGCATTTGTATAAATCTACTAAGATAATAATAATTAACTTACTTGCGCTATTAGACATTCTCCAACCACACAATACAAGCACATATGAGCAAAAATATTTGCAACGACTGTTACAAGGAATGACAGTCTTACGAAAGATAAACGACGTCCATCAGTAACAACCTATATTATTAATTAATATATATATAAGGAATATAATAAAAAAAATGCTAAAAGAATATTAACTGTCATATGTTAATAATGTAATAATTACAGTTTTATGCGTTTTTATTTATTCGTTATTAATTTTGTTTGTGCATATCTAATATTTGGAGACACACATTCTATGTATATACAATATATATATATTATATATATAAAATATACATGTATATACATAAAAGTTGTTGACTTACGGTAACTAGTAAAAATCCATATAGACTAAATAATGTACCAAAATAGAGGAATAATCCAAGAAGCATCAAAGTAAATGTACTTTCAATGATTTTAACGCATCTGTAATAAACAAAATTTTTATTAACAATTATACAAAATGAAAAATTATGTTATAATAATTATATCTTATTAATCATGACTCAAAAATATTAAATTTTACAATTTTTTGAGTTTATGTTTCAGAAGCGTTATAATTTTTTTATTGAAAAAATATATATGTATAATTAATTATATCGCGTAACTTTATTTGATCTGCCGTTACATGAAATAATTAGCGCTATTATATAAATTAATGAGTGTTCATCATGATAGTATCATGTACGAAACCTGATAAGGCGTACATGATCCATTATGGCGTCTGCTAAAACATGATCGAAATTTGATTGTTTTTCAGAACCTATCATTAAACGGCCCTTAAGATTCTTCAATTGACCGCAGACATGAAAAATCAGCAATCCAAAGAGACTATCAATCGCCGTATAACCCATGGCAGACACCATGAGAGTAACACCTTGTGCGACGAATGTGAGTTCAAAGTATGGACTTGTATCTGTGTCATAAAAGTAATATGTCTGCAGGGGCAATGGTTTGCCCGGATCGGTCACGTTCGTTATGTATCGCATGGTAATCCCGAAGCACGGAAGAATAAATAATAAAATAAACGACGCAAACATTATGACAAATCCGCAGATTATGATCATGCGAGGGATCCGTGCGCATCTTATCATGATCTTCCGTTCTTCGTCGGACTTCGATTTTAGCCAATCTTTAGCAATCATGTACAAGAGTGGCGCAAGAGCTTAAAAGATAGATTACAAAGAAATAAATATAACAATTAATTATAATAACATAAATTATAATAAATAAATAACATATAATAATAACATAAGAATTTTACAGTAATATATATACAATATTTAATAATTATTATAAAACAGACACAAATAAGAAAAATATATATTGTTCGATTTTTCCATAATTTATAATTATTAAAGACTTAATGTTATTATTATACAACGATATGTTTTAATATTATTTTTAGGGATCCAGCTTCTTTTCTGTGTCAAAATGCTACAAGGGAGATTTATTTACCAGCTTTTTTGCTCCACATGACGATGAGCTTCATTATCATCGACGCTAAAGGTAAAGTGAATTGTAAATTGTCTGTCATCGACATCAAATCGCCCCAAACTCTTATCAAAGAATGTATGCAGGGAATCACACCAAAAAAAGATACCATAATTATTAACAGTAGCACTCGTATGTTAGACATGAATTTTTCTTGCGTCGTTTCTTTCATTTTTGGCCAAAGTCCGATAAATTCCAGGCTATAGCGATTTAATTCTACCGCCCATTCAAAATCTAGCTATCAAAGTGTAAATTCGTTAATTCTACCATATCGGACTTATTTCTATGATTTCAGGCAAATGGAATGTTTCTTTTAATATCTCAAATTCAACCGTTGTTTTGTTTTCTTCGGCTTGAAAAAATTGAGTACCCGATCATACTTTTTACATTTCTCTTATAACATAAATTACATACAATAATGATGCAATTTTTCAATAGATAGATATAGATTATTCAAAAATAATTATTTAAAAATTATTTAAAAGCTTGTACATATAACATATATCTACATATTTCATGAAACGATAAATTTGTATAAATATATACATGTATTAATATGTAACAAAATAATGTTTCTGTCGCTTATTAAGCAAACAAAATACTCCTAAGAACATTAAACAAACGTTTTTTAATGGAAGTTAAAAACAATAACGAACCTGTATATCCCGAATGTCTAATAGCATCCATATCTAAGGTCAGTCACGTACTATTTTTCTTCGTCAAAAAAAATGTTTTCATCCCCACTAGTCGAGTATCATCGCGCATATTCGTGACATGACGTATTCACGTACTAAACATAGGGTCTATAGAATAATCGATGCATAATAAATATTGCGTATTACGATAAGTGCAGTGACTATTTCATATGATTAATGTACTACGGTGTCCCTCGGTGTTCGGTAAAAGAAAATTGATCTAGAAGGCATTGACTTCGAAGTTTTTGTATGCTCGACAAAATGAAGACAATTGAGAAAAAAAATAATATCGCGTTCGTAGGTTGATGCATTATTGATGCATCCTTATAGAAACTTTTTTTCATCGTGACATGACAATTCTTAGGAATTAGTTGTTATATGGATAGTGTATACGTGAAATGCCTCTCTCTCTCTCTCTCTCTCTCTCTCTCTCTCTCTCTCTCTCTCTCTCTCTTATCTCTTTCCTTGTTAAAAAACAAAGAAAAATTCAATTTTATTTAAAAAAAAACATTTTATAATTGTTTATTAAAAACACCAAAACTAAAAGTTTTAGTTGAGAGAGAGAAAAGACAAAACATTATTCATTAAAAAAATGTAAGTGTATTCTTCTATTTTGCGTACTCTTGTCGTAAGAAGCAATACATTTATGGAAAACAATTTTTTTTCATTTTTATCTTCTGCTAAAGAATAGTTACTTTACTTTTTTTCAAATTTACTTAATTTCCATTTATTTACGTGATCCGTTTTAAAAGAAGTCTCTAAGCGAAAACTCTTCAATCACGTTACTTGAAGTTGAAAGTCATCTCAATTAGTGCGCGCTTAACTAACTGGAAATTAAACCATAAAATCGACCGAACAATAACCAACTGTGTCGAGATTTTAATGCGCTGGGTCAATTGTGAGGTCAATCATTAATTTTACAGTGCTCATCTATCAAAATATCATAAATTTTCATATTTTTATTGTATATGTACACATACATTTGGAAAGACGACGTTTTCGGAAAAAACTGTTCTTATAAAAGTTATAAAGTACCAAATTATCTATCATGTGATGATATTGGTTTGACCTTGAACAATCTTAGGAATTAGTCATATCAAGGTCACCTTGATTTTTTTCAAATAAAAAAGAGGAATCCTTATTTTTTTTTATTGTAAAATCTTATAACCGACGTCTCTCGAAACCATTTCAAAACAATATAATTAAATGTCATTTGATTAAATAAAATTGTTTCAGATGTGCGCCGCTATCCTAATAGCACACTTTATTCGAAGGACGTTCTGGCGAACGTTCTTAGGACATAGGGGTATCCTCTGAATATTCTCTGGAACATCCCTTGGAGATCTGTGCTATTAGGGTAAATTTCAAGTACTGCCCGGTGTTAGCATTATTCAAAATGCACCACGCGAAGGGCATGATCAGATTTTATAATACCTTTTCTGGGTGTTTCATTAAAGTCCTTTACTTCTCACATGTGTGCGTCGTGCGTGCGCGCGTGCGCGCGTGCGTGTGTGTGTGTGCGCGCGCGCAAATACAAAATAACATTAACACACAGTTAATAATATTTTTCGTAATATACTTCATTCGATTCATAAAATACAATATTTACTTATAAATATCAAAATATAATAAAATAATGTAATTGTTTATTAAATTAATGTTAGACATTTTAGTTATTTGTTCAATTTATTATTTTTGTCATATTGAATATCCTAAAAAGTAAAGGAGTGAAGTCTTTTTATAAATAAAAATAAAAGTTTAAAAAATATTTTTATTTCTATAAAGTATAATTTTTAAATAATAAAAATAATAGGCATAACATTTTAACTTTTTTGCATTATTTTGTTAAAGCGTATTCTTTATTACTTTATTCGTCATTTATTTTAAATGAAAAAAATAGAATCACGTTAATTTAGATTAGAAGAAGGGGGTACTATAATTTTTGTATACATTATATACAGATATATATTTAAAAAATAAAATTTCTATAATATAATTTTTACTGATAATTCTTATTAAAACATAATTTATTAATTCTTGTTAATATATTTATAAATAAATAAAATTTTAATTAATGATCAGTGTCATTAAGTTTTATGACCTCAAAAAGAGTACATATGTATTCTTCAAAGGCTGGTAAGTCTAGATACAAGTTCGCTGAGCTGGAACATCGTGCGATCTTTGATCGATGGATTTCCACGCGGTTACTCCTTTTCCTCGATCACGATCTCACGATCACTTTCTCTCGCATACTCGCATTCTATCCCGCTCTCGTTTCCGGTACGTCGTGGTGCGGCCTCCGTTTTCACGCTCGCTCGCGCAGGTGCCGCATTTACCTTGCGCGCGCGCGCGCGCGTGCGCCGCACGCATGCACGTTTCAACAAATTGTCATGAACTAAATGCCACGAAAGATTCGTAAGCTCACCGCGCGGAGCGCCGGTGTGCGAAGTGCGACCTGTCGTCCCTGTCGAGGCGGATGAATGGCGTATTTATGTGTTTTAACGCGCGACATCGCCTATGTTCCGACATCATTGCATTCCGCATCCACACCACGAGTTGCCTGAGTTGTCCGAGGAGCACGTCCTCGCGTATTTCACTAATCCTAACTTGGTGAGCTTCAGCGGGGCTGCATCGCAGAGATCGTATCGTCGCACGGTAGGCGTTGCTGTCACTTGGCTTCCCTCGCCCCGCGCTCTTTACACATTTTCACGCTACTCCTGCGCCCTGTACTGTACGCTCAATTTATACTACAGTAGTATAAATCACATGTCACAGATCTTTCGACCAGTGAAAACTATCCGCGAAATACATGGGCGGTTGTGGTTAAGGGATAAGTGTGTGCAAGTGGATACACCTCTGACAGGCAGAACCGCGTACTTTTATTGTTAATAGAACAGTCACTGTTAGATGATATTGCCAGTGAAATTACTATGCTACAATATTCGTTTGTCTCATAGGCACGATCTTAATAATTGTTGTTTTAAATACAGGGATAATGTTTACCAAGAAGAAAAAGAAACCACAGATCTCCACGCCAACCAACTTTGAGCACAGAGTGCATACTGGATTTGATAAACGTGAGGGCAAGTTCGTCGGATTGCCGTTGCAATGGGCTTCCATAGTCGGGAATAATCAGATTCTGAAGTCTACCAACAGACCACTGCCCTTGGTCGATCCAAGCGAGATCACACCTACCGAGATCCTCGACTTGAAAACCATCGTAAGAGGCCATAATGATCCTAGGATAAACAGACCACTTGCCACTGATAGAACTGTTGAGAATGGCTTGCCTAAGACTAGTACAGTCGCCCGTTCCAATTCTCTTCGTTCTTCGAGTCCACCACGACTCAGGAGAGATTACAGGTATTGTAATTTAGCTTTTTCTTAGATGTATTTACTATGTTGCATCAAACATGTAGATTTGTATAAAGAATGATACAAAAGTATATATGTCATGATGTATATGTTTGCAAAATTTTTGTTGATAAAGACTGGCACTGTAAATATACAACTATATCTATGTATTGATAGAAATAAATTAAGCATCTTAAGTACTAATATTTTGATGAGATCAATGAGATTAATGAGCATAATTTTTTCTTTTATTTTTTTATTTTACAGGCATAACAGCAATCTTCCGCCATCCGTCCCTGAAGGCCAAGAGATACCTTCAAATGTTAATCAGGGCTTTACGAACTTTGGCAAGCCACATAACTACATCGATAAACTAAGACAAAATTCACCGAATGTTGGCAGTGGACTGAATTCCAGTATGCAGAACATGCTCCCAAATCTTCAAAATCTCAATCCTAATATGCAATCTTCACCAAATTTAGCTCACTCGGGATCAAATGTACCAAACTTATCTTTAAATTTCCAAAACTTAAGTCCTATTGTAAATTCACAAGCTCCAGTACAAAGTCCAAATACCCCGCAACTTCTTGACACAGAATTTCATAGACTAAATTCACAAATGGCTATGACGTCAGGTCATTATAATGGCAATGTACAGGTAATTATCACAGTATAATTATTAGATATCACACATTCAAAAAGATAGATATATATATTCTATCTTTAAAAGAATAATATGTATATGTAAAATATTATTAATATTCTATCAAGATGCAAAAGTCGAAATATTAGTCTCTGTTAAACTTCGAGAAAAACAAAATATATATTCTAAAGTATATACAATTGTAATATTACAGTAATATTATTTGGTTTATAGGGTTCAACTATAGATCCATCGAGGGAACATCAAGCTGGCCAAAATGTCTTATTATACAAGCTACAGCCAAAAATTTCGCCAGTGGGTTCAATAGCATCCCAACGACCTCTGAGTCAACTGAGTTCACATAATATTAATAAATATTCTCAGGCATATATGTCTGAGAATCCATCTAATCTCCAATCACATTTGAAGAAGCCGATGGAAACGTCCCAATCAATGCATAATTTATCAAAGCCTAACATATCGTCTGCAGTATCAGGAACTAGTTCTACTCCAGATCAAAATCAGAATTTAAAAAGTGCTGTTTCCTCAGGGAACTTAGCAGTTAATGCAAGTTCGAACAATACCAATAAACAAACGGAACAGAGACTTACGCATGAACAGTTTCGGGCTGCTTTACAAATGGTGGTATGTGTAAAATTTATATTAATACCAAATTTATTCGTTGCACAATAGAGTATATTACAATTAATTGTGATATAATTTTTTTATGTAAAAAATATCTTCAAAATATCTTTATTTTTTATAATATATTCTATAGATGAATAGTTCTAATTCAATTATTATATTATTGCTATTATGAGTTGCAATTAAATGAAATAAACGAGTTTGCAATCTAGAATTTTAACTTTTATAATGGCATTTATTCATCTTACTTTATATTTAGGTAAGCCAAGGTGATCCAAGAGAAAATTTGGAGAATTTCCTGAAGATTGGTGAAGGCAGCACAGGAACTGTATGCATAGCTACAGATAAGAGTACAAACCGTCAAGTTGCAGTCAAGAAAATGGATTTAAGGAAACAGCAAAGACGCGAATTACTTTTTAACGAAGTCGTTATTATGAGAGACTACCATCATCCAAATATAGTTGAGATGTATAATAGTTTCTTGGTAGACGATGAATTATGGGTCGTTATGGAATATCTAGAGGGTGGTGCGCTAACCGATATTGTAACACATTCAAGAATGGATGAGAGTCAGATAGCTACAGTGTGTTCTCAGTGTCTTAAGCCACTGGCATATTTACACTCGCAAGGTGTTATACACAGGGATATTAAGTCTGATTCAATATTACTTACGGCAGATGGCAGAGTAAAGCTATCAGATTTTGGCTTCTGTGCTCAAGTCTCTCAAGAATTACCAAAACGAAAGTCTCTCGTAGGAACTCCGTACTGGATGAGTCCTGAAGTTATTTCAAGGTATTCTATATCTGCTTTTTTTCAATTAAGTAATACAAATTATTAAATTTATGCTTTATTATTCAAATTATTGTAGAAAAAGTAAATTACAAATGTGTAATGAGAATAACGGATATATGAAATATATGAGAAATGTACTTTTTCTATTTATTTTTTAATTTTTTTTGTAAAATCTTGCATTCTTTCAAAAAATTTAGAATAAAATATTTTAATACTTGGATATATCTCTCAAATATCTTAATTATTTCAATTTTTTGGCAAATAATTAAAATGATTGTTTCATCTTCAATTATAGATTGCCATATGGACCTGAAGTAGATATCTGGTCGTTAGGAATAATGATTATTGAAATGATCGACGGTGAGCCACCATTTTTCAATGAACCACCTCTACAAGCTATGAGACGCATTAGGGATATGCCACCACCAAAACTAAAAAATTTTCATAAAGTAATATTATTTACATTTCTTATTAATTTGGCACAAATATCAGAATTATCATGTCAGTAGACAACTGTATATTCCAAATTCAAAAAGTAAGCAAAATATTTTCTTTATTTTCAGGTTAGTCCACGTCTTCAAGGCTTTCTTGAGCGAATGCTCGTACGTGATCCAGCGCAACGAGCCACGGCAGCTGAATTATTACAACATCCATTCCTTAGGCAAGCTCAAAGTCCTAGTATCTTGATTCCATTAATGAGAGGCGCCAGACACACAAATTGTTAACGAGATTACATCTTCGTAAGCTAGAATGTTAGTCAAAGCAGACATTTCATTACTAGAATATTCTCGATACTATCGTGTTGAACTACTTATTCTCTGAAGGCAGCTTTTGGCAATTTGTGAATTATTTCAGTTCTGCCATCCTCATATAGAGGGTTTCTAAGTTTTTATCTTTTTTTTTTTGCGATAGACATGACCGATTGAATAATGAAATATTCATAAAAATTCTCATACGTACGAATTTGAAGTACCATATAATATTGACGGTTGAGGATTTTTAATTTTAAAAGAATTGAAATTGGCATCATTTTCTGAAACCAAAGAGAATAATGTTGTTATTCCATTATTCGCAATTTTTAGGTTTCCAATAAAACTTTGAACCTCTTAATATATATAAGCGAATCCTTTCGGTCATGTCTAATATACATATGTAATATATGAAAAAAATTTTATAGCTATACTTTAGAAAATATTAAATAGGAAAGTCCGAGTCATGATCATTACCAATTATTATTCGAATTATGACATTCCAATCGGGCTGAAGCTTGTAAGTATTATTTTGAAAATAGTTTACTACGTTCCAGAGTATTGTTTTATATGTATTATTTTAATAATTTGACAAGGCTGCTTTTAAAAGACAATATAACATTATTCTTCAACTATTGGCACTGCCAATGTTTGATTCACAGTAAAATCAAACATTGTTTTAATGTTATAACGGATAATTATAATTTTGAAATATTTGTATACATAAAATACGTATTCACCAAGTGCCTTTATAGTTAGCACTATTGCAACGATTAACTTGTCATTATAAAGTACTATTTATTATTAGTATTAATGGGCCTTAGACATATCAAATCATTTATTGTTTATTATATTATTCAAAACGCAGATCTATATATAAGAAATAAATACATACAGGGTGTCTGGTAGTAATCGGATTACTTTTCGAGAGCAAGTAGAATGGACTACGCTGAGTCGAAAAGTCCTATACTATTTTATAATAGTTAATGAGATATTAATTACTAAAAATTGCCGAATGAGCGCGTATTCACCCCTATCGCTAAATGCAAACGTGTGGCAAGAAATAATCGCCCAATGTAAGGAGAAATGTTTTCTTTGCCTCATTGCCGCTTGTAGTACTCTTAGCGTGTTTAACAATCTACGATGTTGAACAGTCGAACTCGTCACGCACAACGGTAGGCACCGGGCGGATTCATTCGATGATTTTCAGTAATTAATTTCTTGTTAACTATTGCGAAAATTCCAAAATGGTATAGGATCTTCCAACTCAGTTTAATCTGCTATACTTATTTAAAAAAGATAATCTGATCATTATCGACCATTCTATATACATAATAATTTTTTTTATTTTAAATGTTAGTTTTTAAATACTTTTAAAGGGAGACATTTTTATTTATTTTTCTTTTTAAATAATAATGCAAAATAATTTGAGAGAATCTGTATATTTATAATCGAATCGATTCAAA